TAGGGATTTGACACTGGAGCAAGGCTAGCACATTACCCTTCTCTTAGACCACACCAGAGATGGAGTAGTTCCTTGGCTGTATGTCTTTTTTTTTTTTTGAACCAGGGATTGAACTCAGGACCTTACACTTGCCAGGCAAGCGCTTATTCTACTGAGCTATCTCCCCAGCCCCTTCCTTGGCTCTATGTGCAGCCATGTGTTGGTGCCTGTCCCAAATCTATCTTATCAGCACTTCTATTAGCAATAAAGTATTTGCATTCTCAGTATGTTTCTTTTTATTGCAGTTCTGGAGAGAGTAGAATATACATACAAGTTGATTCAGAAATTTCATTTCAGCAGTGGCAATGAGATCTGCTGTCATGATGGGATTCTCATCAGTCATGAACAAGAGGCCTTGGACGGCAGTCTTCTAAGTGCCATGGGTAGAAGTTATTATTCCTAATACGTAACTCTCTCTCCTTTGAAGCTTTCCCCTGGTGTCCTCACCTATCTGCTGTCATTTGTGGACCTCAGCTGTGTGGAAGAAGGCCTGGAAGGCCCTGGTGAGAGGACACTGTATGCACACAAGGCTGCATCTCTCCCGTGCTGATTTCTTGCTGAATGGGGACAATTTTTATACAGCTGCTCAAAGCAAGAGTATAAGCACCCTGAGCAAAGTTCCAGAGAAAGCAGTGCTCGGCACAGCCTCCTAGCTCCCTGAGTAATCATTCTCTGGTGTGGGCACAACTGCAACTGTAGAAATAAAGACCACCAGGGGGATGCACAGAGGCTGGGATCCCTTTGCCAAAGCATGAAGGTGTACTTGGGCAAACCACTGCTGCAAAGTAATCTTTGGCAGTGTGAGTGTCCTGAAAGGACTTTAATGTGAAAGCTCCTGAAGTGTGGAAAGCACGGTCGTGATGGAAAGTGAGCACAGACCACGCAGATAAAGTACAGTGCTGACGGCAAATGCCCTCTGGGGGCAGGCAGGGTGCCAGCCAGAGGTCAGTGTCCCAGTGGGAATGTGCTCCTGGGGAGAAGAGCACTAGAACAGAGAGCGCCAAGCCCTAAGAGAAGGATGCAGAAGGGAAGCCCTTGCCCCACAGATGCAGTCTCCTGATGGAATGGGACTGGCCTGCTCTAGTAGGGATAGAAAGACACAGAGCTGTGCTAGGTTCTCTCCTTTCGGGAGTTTTATGTTGGCAAAAGTAGCAGGGCCAACAGTGTTTGTCCATTTTGTAGTTACCTCCATAGCACTTACATTTGCAATAAAGTGCTGAATTCGTAATGTATTCGTGAATGGACTAGGTGCAGAGGCCGTCTACTTCCCACTGTAACCGGGAACTTCTGTTTTGGCAGCTCTTGGCAGGAAGGTCAGCCTATGCAGTGGTTCTCAGAGAGCCCTGGGGTGTCACACTGCCAGGCATCTACAAACTGTGCAAAGTGGGAACTTTCCTCAGTGACCCTCTAAGACTTTTCTGGGTGCCAGGCTCAGAGCTGGAGTTTGTGTTACCTGCTGCCTGAGCCTGTGCACCCCCATCCTCAAGACCTCCTAAGGGATGGGAAAGATGTGACCACCTCTATCAGCGAGTCTTCATTTTCAGAGCAAATACAACCTTTTAGGAAACGAAGTCAAGAGTCAAAAGCTGAGGACAGCTGGAGGCCTCTATCCTGGTGGGCAAGAGGACTGAACAACACAGCAGGGGCCCGTATGTGTACTCTTGCAAAGTTAGTTTCATGAGAAATAGGTTGCCCAGAGAATAATGACTGAAATAATCTGGGTAGGATGCTTTCCTGAAGACTTAGGTGGTTGTACTGCTTTATGCTCTCCTAGTCTCCCATGCTCTCACACATATGACCAATTTCCAGCTTCAGCGGCTCCCCATAGTGAACTTCTGTCTCCTAACCCTCTCTGATTTCCCCTCTGGCCTCAGGTTTGGTTTAACGATCGGAGAGCCAAGTACATAAAAATCAGAGGAAAGCACTGCTCCACCTGATTCCCTGGACCACATTCTCATGGATGCGGAGGCAGAGCTGTTCTAGGATGCTGTCCTTCATGAAGAAGTAGAAGGTGGTTGGAGCTTTGTGTGCTGCGAATCCCAGGGCCAAGCATGTTTTGCCCCTGTGTGGGTACCTTCGTAGCATCTATATTTGCAACAAAGTGGTGAATTGTGAACTTACTTATTTTCCTTTGCTTGTGGCCTTAGCTACAGATGGATAAAATGCACTGAGGATGTCATTTCAGCCAAATCGTGATGAGGTCTCCTGTCAGTAGAGGACTTTGCTGAGCCACCATCTAGTGTCCTGAGACATCAGTCTTCTAAGAGCCATGCTGAGTTTAAATGGCCCTTCATTCATTCCCTCTCACTGAAAACCCACCCATGTGCCCTCACCTCCATGCTGTCATTTGGGAAACTGAAGTGAGTGCAAGAAAGGCCGGGGCAGGGCCCTGGTGAGAGGACACTGTGTGAACACAGGGCTGGGTCTTACCCACTCTGAGGAGGCCAATGGTGACTCTGCACTGGGAGACCAGCTCCCTGAGAGGCTGCTCCTGGTCAAGGGGAAGGAGGCAGGTGCACAGCCACCTACTGTGCTCCAGGTCTGCTCAGCGTCCTCCTGGCTGGGGAGCAAAGAGGGTTCTAGGGGAGCTTCTGGGGGTCTAGGTCCTACTGCCCCAAAAGAACCACAGGAAAGCCATCCCTGGGAGCCCAGAGAGCCTGCTTCTCCTTTCTGTCTCATCCCCAACCAGCACCAAATCCTCACAGGCCCCCCAGCTCAGAAGCTGAATACCTCTCCTTCCTCAGGACTGGTGCACCTGCAGCACTCTGTGACCTCAGTCAGTGGAGCTAAGCAATACCAAGCCCAGAGTGGCTTCCCACTCATCTCTGTATTCACTCTCCTCTTCATTCCTCCTTTCACATGGAGCTCAGAAGTGATAGCTGTTCAGGTCCCATGACCTCGAAGTGCATTTGGGTTGCTTTCTCAAGACCTTGTCATTTATGGATTATTCCATGTGCAGAATTGATCATATATTTCTAAACCAAGGTGAATAGAATTCCTTAGGGGTCCTTTTAATTCATTATTTGATACTATGCACAGGTGTGATATCATCATATCTATTTATTTGTTTATACATTTATGTTGTGTTTTTGAGAAATGATTTTGCTATGCATTTCTTGTTCACTTTCAACTCACTTTGTAGCCTAGGAGGGTATCCAACTCCCAGTGATCTTCTTGCCTCAGCTTCCCAAGAGGTGGGATCACAGGCATGTGCTATGTCACATCCATTTATACATAAAATGGAGAGGCACACATAGATATATTGTATCTTTCATTCTAATTTTTTATGTCAGTAATGTGAACACATACATCCATTATATAATAAATAAATAAATATATATGTATATATATATATGTATATATGTAAAATGTATTGGGACAAAATACACATTGCCGTCAGTCACCCACAAAATGCTCCCCCTTGCTTTGAGCTCATGAATATCATCATTCTCTGTGCTTTCTGAAGCAATTCTGACACTCGTCTTTGGTGTCTTTAGTTGTGAAGTTAGGGCAGCCTTAGTGTCCTGAATGTATTCAAATTTTTATCTTGTCAGACTATCTTCACTTTGGGGACAAGCAGAGCCACATGGCCAGAGAGCTGGTGAGTGATGTGCATGAAGACACACTATGAGTTTTCTTTTCTTTTTCTTTTTCTTTTTTTGGTACCAGAGACTCAGCTGCGGACCTTGCCCTTGTAGCCGGGCACTTATGCTGCTGAGATATCTCCCCTACAATAAGTTTCCATTTGAAGGAAATTGCTGCATGTTTTGGATCAACCAAAGGGGAAGAAATCATCTGAGAGTGTCCAAAAAAATTGAGAGCAAAAGGCACATTTTTTAATGTATTTGATACAGGGTCTCACTACACAACTTGGACTCATGGTGATCCTCCTGTTTTGAGTCTCCCCAGTGCTGGGATTACAGGCATGCGCTACCATGCCTGGTAACAGGCACATTGTGAGCAATCAAAACATTCATCATCCCAAACCTAGCAGTATGCTTGTTCATTCTTTCTTAGCTATACCTCATTTACAGTAATAAGTATTTTTTAAAAGTTCAAACACACACCATGTCTATCTATCTATCTATCTATCTATCTATCTATCATCTATCTATCTATCTATCTATCTATCTATCTATCTATCATCTATCTATCTATCTCTATATCTCTATATCTATCTATCTATCTATCTATCTATCTATCTATCTATCTATCTATCTTTCTCATAGCATCTTGGAGAAGACTGTGAAATCTTTTTTCCACCTTCATGTGGACTCTTACAAGGCTCTGTCTGTATTGTGGGGGAAAGGACTGTGGTGACATCTTGCAGCCATCAGAATGTCTCCAGAGCCCACAGTGATAGAGTAGTCTCCGGCTACTTCCAATCAGCCTTCTCCCATTCCCCCTTCAGGGCTTTGCTGTATAGGGACCCTCCTTTCCTCCAGAGCCCCCAGTGGGTTACAGGGCCTACAGGAAAGTGGTGAAGACAGCAGAGCAGCTGAGGTGGGAAGGGAAATATCTGGCAGGGACAGCATACAGGGATGGCGGACCTCACGTGGCCCATGTTCAACGAACCAGGCAAATGAAGGCAGGGTTACCGTATCAGTGAAGGAGGCAGCAGCAGAACCAGCGAGAAGGCAGCCACCATAGAGTAGCCAACCTGGAAGACCTTGCATTTGGCACAGGGGCCAGTGAACATCCAAGACATTCCCGGGAAAGTCAAGCTCCAAAGAAAGAGGTAGACAGAGATGGCAAAGCACAGTCAGGAGAGGACCAAAGGAGGTGCAGTCAGCCGAGAAGGTCCCATGCAACGTGGAGGATTATGTGGAAGAGAAAGGCCTCACAGAAACCAAGGGACACCATGTTCTAGCCTAAAGAGTCTCCAGGCAGAGAGCCAGGAAGGGCCTTCTGGGACTAAGACATGCCTCTTAAAGGAGGCCTGGGGCAATAGCTCGGCCTCAGAGGCTGTACTGGAAATCATAAAGTGAAGTCCCTGCTGTCCCCGGAGTCTGCCGGCAGCAAAGCTTTGGGCCGCTGGTGTGTCGAAGGCTCCCAAATCAGAGAGTGGGTTAGAAGTGAAGAAAAGCATTCACGTGAGTGTCCCTGGGGTCCTGGGTGAGAGAGCTAGAGTCTCATGATGAATCTGATTTTGGCCAAGTCTCAGCTCCCAAGTATGTCAGAGTGAAAATGATTGTCATTGAGTTGGTGACACCTACACTGTGGGAAGCTGAGTCAGGAGAGCACATTTGAGGCTATCCTGGGTAATTTAGTGACGTAGCTGCATTCTATCTCCAAATTAAAAATTAAAAGTGCACTCGGGACATAGATTAGTGTGAAGGCTGCATGTTTATTCATCACTTGATTTAAAACATAACTATCAGTGTTAGAGATGGCAAAGCAGACTGTATCCAAAGAGAATATCAAGTTAAGCATAGTCAGAGGGGAAAAGGACAACAGCAGGGCTTCCCTGAGGACTGAGGAGAGCTGTGGCCCAGCCTCCCATTTGTCCCAGACACCGGGAACTTCTGAGGTCTATGCAACCACAGGGTAGAGGGGCTGCTGTCTGTAGGAAGCAGAGCAATGGGTTCATGCAGAGAGGCAGAGACTGAGCTCCCCTGCACACAGTATGGATGGGTGGGTACTCAGAGCTCAGGACCAGGGTGCAGCTCAGAGTGTGGAAAATTATTAAGAGAGATCTGTGCTCATGGAGGACTTGGACCAACCAGCCCAACAAGATTCCTGGAATAGCAAGAGAAACATGAGCAGAGCTCCCCTGAGGAATGAAGAGCAACCTGGGAGCTGTGCAAAAATGAGACCCTGCGGTCACAGAGTCTGAAACCCACACATCCCGGCCCAGTTGCAATGGAGCTCAGAGGGCTTTCCGAATTTGGTCACAGGAGCATGTGTACCCTCACTGGGAATCTGAGAGGTATAAAGTGGGGCTGCTCCTTTGCAAGAGCTCTGCCTGGAAGGAATGATCCCACTCTTGCTGAAGGCTGCAATGGATGGTTTTGCCTGATGGTCACATAGGGCACCTAGACAGATTCACAGAAAAGGAATTTCAAGAAATAAAGTGTAGGGAGCCTGCCAGTTAACTCAGTTATTTAAGCGCCTGCTCATGCAAATGCAGTCAGGTGCAGGATACCCCAGTTCGATTCCCAGCTCTGCATGCCTTACCAGACCCACCCTTAAGGCAGCATGAGCCAGTCAAAAAAAGAAAATCCATCTCAACCTTAAGGGCCGGCCAAATAGTTCAGCGGATTAAAGCACCTGCAAACAGGCACCGGGGCTGGGGGTTTGATCCCTGGGCCTGGGGCCTGCCCTGCTGGCCCCGACCCCAGGGTGCACTGAGACAGCAGTTGAGACTGGGTGTGGTGGCCTGCGCCTGTAATCCCAGCTCTTGGGAGGCTGCAAACAGGCGGATCACTACGAGTCTGAGTCAGATCTAGTAGTGAGACCCTGAACACCCTAAGTAGACACTTCTCTAAAATACAAAAAAAAAAAAAAAAAAAAAGAAAGAAAGAAAAGAAAAGAAAAAGAAAGTGTTTTTTCTCCTGTTGTTATGGGTGTTCATAAATGTAACCCTAGGTCCAAAGATCTAAGAACATATTTTAGAAGGGGCCCCACAATTGTAACTGGGTGCATAGGAGGCTGAGGCAGGAGGACAGCTAGTTTGAGGCCAGCCTGGGCTACCTGGAAAATTCAAGTTCATCCTGGACAACATAGTGACACCCTGTCTTCAACTTAAAAATCAAAATGAAAGAGGGCTTTCAGCCTACCAGGTGGAAGTGGGAGCTTGCAGCCTTCTAAGGGTCTTCTGGGGCAAATTCCAAGCCCTGCCCTAACCAGGCAATCGGCACAGTGAGAACAAAGGACTGCCTGTGCAGGAAAACGCACTCTTGGCTCAGCTGATGCATCACATGGTTTGTATTGTACTTTTGAAGATTACAGGGTTCAGGGGGTTCACACAATGCCCACTACCATAGTGCAGCAGGCCCAGCCCCCTTTGTGTGGCAGTGTCACCCAGTGAAGGCTACAGGTCAAGCGGAAGTGCTACTGGCAATAACTGGCAGATAGCTTGACCCACCAGTATCAGGGACCCGGGATGAGAGCTGGTGCATCCCCAGTTGCATCGCCCAGCTGGCAATAATGTCCTTGCTCACTCTGCCCACACTGTTGCCCTGGTTAGTGTCACAGTGGCCAAAGACCTGGTCCACATGGGCCCTGCTTCTGCATGGGCTAATCACACATGGCCGGCATGCTTTCCAACCTTTAGTGTCCTTGTACTCTCTTGCTGAGAGCAGCACCAACCATCCACCTTCCAGGAGCTATCAGAGTCTGCACTTAGTGTGAGGACGTGGGCTTCTCTTTCTGTGATGCTCCTTGAAGAGCCCACAGTCTTTCCCCAGGACAGTGTACTTCAGGCTGTCAGCTTGTCTCCCCAGGCTGTGCAGCTTTCGGGGCTAATCACACAAGCAGAGAGAAGGGACACAATGCATGATGGAGTTCTAAGTGGACGACACAACACAGACAAAAGAGGGGATCTCAAGGCACCCAGTGTTATTTGCAGACACAATCTGCACCATTTCTGGTCACCTAAGTGTGGAGAGTGGAGATGAAACTACCTTTCTCTTGGGTGTGTGTGCCTAAGGCAGGCTGTTATCAGCACTGTCATGGGTCTCGCTGGCTCAGGGTCAGAACATCTGGGGATTTCAGTGTTCTCATTTCTCTAGCAGCAGGGCAAGTACCATCCTCATGACTCAGGTGCACGGGACACCTCAAGATGGAGGTAGTTAGGCCAAGGTAGGAATACATTATAAGATGCAAAACCTCGTAGGAAGTGTGGGGTGGGCTGGACTCCCTGCAAGCCTGCCCACGGGTGAGGCGGGCTCAGGGTGAGTTCTCCGCCCTTCACCTCCTTTCTAAAACAGGTTGGACGCCAACGCAGCCCTTTCCTCAGTCATCTCTGCAATCCATGGAGTGCAGTTAGGAAGTGAAGGGCACGACGCGCTCTCATGCTCTGTATGTGTAGTATCAGGACCTTTTTTTAGCAGCCCTGGGCTCTTTTTCCGCCCAGGCCCCGTCAGGGCTGCTACATTGTAGCCCCATGCATAGTAGCCTGGGTGTAAGCAGAGAGCCAATAGAGAGGTCAGGAGGGCTCCTGTGGACTCAAGCCCACCAAGTGGGGTTCAGCATTGCTGTAACCAATCGCAACCCCAGGCTCCACCCATTTACCGCCACACAGTTTCTGAGACGTATTGTGCTTGTGCTTGAATTTACAGAGAAGACCTTGTGGCCTTTGGTCCCTGGTAGCCATGGAAGAGGAACGCTACCCCCATGGTCTGCTGTCCCTGAACCTAGAGCTCTGGCAACTGGAAGCCAGTGCGGGTCCTGCACAGGGTGTCCCCGCAGCAGCCGAGGTTCGCCTCTTCACTGAGGGAATTCCTGGCATTGGGGCAGACGGTCAATCCGAGGCCATCCTGGAGGAGGATGGTGGCGAAACCCTGAACCTAGGGGTAAACATGCGCCATGGAATTGCCCCTATCCACCACGAGGAGAATCACGTTGACCAGCAGCCTGAGCAGCTCTCCCAGGCCCAACAGGATACTGCAGATGCCAGGGGCCGAAGGCGAGGCCGACCCAGGCGGCAGCGAATGCAGTTTAGCTTCATGCGGTGGCAGGTGCAGGAAATGGAAAGTGTTTTCCAAGAAACTCAGTACCCGGATGTACTAACGAGGTGAGCTGCTGCCTCGGGGTGCACACGGGCTTTAGCTGGGTGCGGGGGCACTTGCAGGAGTGTTCTCTATCTCCAGATGCCCTCTTTCCCATCTTGATCCGACAGCACTCAGGTAAATGCCTTTGTGCTGGGTACGTTGGCTCTGGAGTTGGACAACAGTCAGAACGTGGGAATCCAGTGCAGAAATGGGTTGATGTCTGCTTCTTTGTTCTGTGGTGTGAGATGCACTCAGTAGACGTTGCTGCCAGAATTTGAGGCCAGGTGTCAGCGGTATTACATATTTTCACGTAAGTGCAGAGCTGTGCGCAGTGCTAGCTATGTTCACCGAGCTATCCATCAGATCTCCAGAGCGCGTGTCATCTTACAAAATCAGGCCACACATGAAAGACCGCCCATGTCCCTCAAGGCCTCAGTTCTCACCACATAGGATTTTCTGTTCATACTCTGAGAGGGAAGTGTATGGGAAGCAGATCTAGGTGGCATGTTAGCCAGTTAGTGTTGTTGTGCCTGGCTTAGGGGCTTCAGGCATCCTCCCCGTGCATCCATGCTGCAGCAGCTGTCAGATGTTCCTTACTTTTTAAGGCCCATTGATTTTCCCTTGCACAGAGAACCCTTGTGGCTCTGTCATCTGTGGAGAGGTTGCTTTCGGGCATAGTGCTGCTGTGAACATGCCTGACACATAGCGGGGAACATGCAGGGTTTCAGGGCCCAGGGGGCCTCCTAAGAAATGGCATCATTGCACCATACTACTCAGTGTTTATGCTTTGAGGATCAGCAGACTGTTTGCAAGAGACACAAGAATACTGCCATTACTCCTCAGAGGGACCGAGCGTTGCAGATTCTCCCTGTGCTCAGCACACTTGTTATTTCCCAGGCTGTGAGTGGTTGAGATGTGAGTGTGTTTCATATCCCTGTGGGGTGATGTGCGCTATTGGCTGCTCATTTGCAGTGTTTGTGTCTTCTCCAGCTTCCTGGTCATCTCTATCCCTTCTTTAGACAAATGTCTCACTGAGATGGCTGGCGAGGTTTGCTTGCTGATTTGGGAAACCTATTTCTGTGTCTGTATCAGGCATGCTTTGCAAATCTTTTCTCACATTTTGTTGGTTTGTTTTGACTGTCTGCACTGAGTCTGCTGACTGACAGAAATGGTTACATTTGTCACTGGCTTTGATTTTGTACTTCTTGAATTCATGACTTCTGTTTCAAATAAGTTTCCTTGGTTCAGAGTCTGTAGAATGGGATACTTTTGTGCTAAAGGGTTCCTGATGATAAGAAAAGAGCATGTACGAAGAGGGAAAGGGGAGAGGAAGGAAGGGAACTGAAAAGTCTCCAAGGTAGTTATGCTACCACTTTTTTTTTCTGTGTAAAATTTTATTTTGATATGTAGCTTTAAAAAGTATAATAGGAAAAGCTTAAGAATACAGATGATCAATTTTTTACAAAGTGACAACTCTCATATATATAAATGTATATATATATGAGATAGAGATGATATCTATGATAGAGATGCATAGTACTGGCACTATAAAAGCTTCTTTAATTGCCCTTTACCAGTCATTTATTAAATATGTGCATCCATGTCTGTTATAGTCATAGAAGTAAAATTGCTGAATTATAAGAAATGCATACATTCAGATTTTGCAGACATCAACAAACATTTTTGCAGAAAGGTTGCATCAACTTGTACATGCAACAATAGTTCATGAGAGTTCCAATTATTTCATATCCTTGCCAACACTTGTTATTGTCAGTCCTTAGCTTCGCCATTCTTGTGGCTAATATGCTACCACTTTCTATCAGGTCATTAGGGAGAACTTGTGTTAATGTCATTTGGAGATTTTTTTTGCCCATATCTTGTGCTCTCAGGTAAAAAGACTAAAGATAAGATTAGGCAATATAGTAACTATTGTTATTTTCCTAAAAACTTGTTTGGAGATTTTCTTTGATGTATTTAATTTTTCTTCGGGGGGGGGGGGAATGGAGATCAAACTCAGTACCCTGCACCAGCCAGGCAGGCCCTTATCTCTCTTACATAAAATAAAACTACTATTTGTATCATAGCGTGCTACATTCATTTTATATTTTCAAAATAACATATCCAAATACCTTGTACATGAGCTTAGGTACTGGGAGGAGGTCAGACCATGACCGATGGGAGCCGTATTCTCAGGGAAACAGAAAAGGATCCGTGGGCCCTGGAGGGCTGAGTGCAGGTCCCAGCCCAGCACAGAATGTGCATGTACTACTCCAGTCCTGGAGCTCTGCATCCTCCATCCAGGTCACTCACCGTGGAGCATCTGCTGTTTTCTCTCCACAGATGGAAGCTTGCAAGAGACCTGAACGTACCAGAGTCCAGAGTGCAGGTCAGTGAGTCCCACACAAGCCAGAGGACGTCACAGTCGCTCTCCATCCTGCCTCAGGGCAGCGCTGGGTCCTGGCACTGTGGACCTGGTCTTGTTTCTTCTCCTGTCTTACTGTGACAAGCAAGATTTGCATTAGGAAGAGGGAAAATGGATTGGGTCACCGTGGGCTTGTGGTGGTTTTTCCTTTACAGAGGGAACATGCTTTCATAAGGGACAACAAAACCTCAAGTCCCATCTTATTATGTGTGAACAATGAAATATATATGCTTATAAAATGGAAAGGTATAATTAGGCACAGCCTTAATACATAAATATGTGTACAGATATTCCTTATTTAATGACCTACCTATTGAGTGACCTGACTTTTGCATGAGGTGTCATGTTTTGACTTAAGGCATCTCTTACTTTAGTATAGTTTTCTACATTTTGTTTACTGATATTTACTTTTATTCTTCTACCAGTACCCCGTACACAGTGGACTGTCGCACTTGCTGAGTGTACTCTGCATTTCTGTAATGGTGTGTTCTGTTATATGTTACTGCATGAACATTTATGTGCATACAAGCAAAGGCATCCCATTGGAGCTTCCTTTGCTCTGAAAATTTTACTGTACACAGGTTATCAAATTACGTGCTTAGCGACCACTTCATTGAAAAACCTAGTCTCAGCAAAAGACCTCAGGCGTTAAATGAGAAATGTCTACATGTCTTTGTTCACTAAGTATCGATCCCTTCATTGGAGGTCTGGAGGGCTTCAAGGTACACGACCATGTGCATCCTGCTGGGGCTCTGACCGTGAAAGTCTCCAAATGGGTGCAGGGAAAAACAAGGTTAAAAGATCGTTCTGATGTAGGGCACTATTTGAAACATAGCCTAAGATCTTTGGTAAGCATCCATGTATTCAAGTCTTTTCTTTGGCTGTGTCATGTTCTGTTTTGGTCTTGTTTTTGGTGCTGGCATAGAACCTAGGATATCACAGGTCAGGGTCCAGGGCTCTACCACTGATTTTTTCCCCAAACATAAATTCATAGATATTAGGAAGAGGACTGAATGCTCAGAGAAAGACTCTCCTAGCAGGGAGTGGACATATAATTCTGATAAGGAAGTTAGAGTGAAAGGTGATTTATTTGGTTTTCTTTTCTTTATAAGGTATATTGAGGTCATGGAGAGATTAGAAACTCACTCTTTAAATTTGTCTGCATATAGTGCAGTATCCATGTGAAAACTTTCTTCACATAGACAGAAAGTGGATGATTTTGGAAATTAGCCTAAAGTGTGAAATAAGCAAAAACAGTGGTATGGAATGACTTTCCCTTAAAGGAAGTAGGGTGCAAATGACAGAGAAAAACTGCAGACATTCAAAAGATGGCTTAAAGCTTCGCCATTAAATTCCTACATGAATGTTCTTTGAGAGTGCTCTAGCATAGACAGGTTTGCTTTTGTCTTACAGGGTTCTATATGCAAGTGGAGGAATTGGTGGAGCAATTTTGTGGTATACCCTTTATTTTGGGGACATGTTTCTGACATAATTTGATGTACATCCTACTAAGGGTGTGAAAGAGGAGGTGTCCGTTTCTTTCCTAAAATTAGTTTCATTTTCTGGTGCAGTGGACGGAACTCCTGAGCCTGGGCAGCAGGGCTCTATTCCCTCATCAATATCCCAGCCTTCTAAGGTCTTTCAGTCTGAAAAAATAGTTTCTCTCATGAAACCTAGGAGTCAGCTGCATAGGAACTTACAGGGTGTGTTTTTCCTTTATGATAACGCTTCTATCTCTTAACCCTGTCTACTTTCCCCTCTGACTTCAGGTTTGGTTTAACAATCGGAGAGCCAAGTATAGGAAAAATCAGAGGAAAGCACTGCTCAGGAATGTACCACCTGATTCCCTGGACCGCATTCTCATGGATGCGGAGGCAGAGCTGTTCTAGGATGCTGTCCTTGTGAAGAAGCAGATCGTGGCTAGAGTTCTGTGTTGCCGTGAATCCCAGGGCCAAACATACTTCTTCTCTGTGTACTTACCTCGGTAGCACATTTGCAATAAAATTGTGATGTCTGAACTGACTTGCCTTCCTGTTGTTTGTGTGGTGAGTTACAGTTGGATAAAATGTCATTTCAGAGGAGTGATGATGAGGTGTCCTGTAATATTAATATTAATACTAATGTTCAGTTTTCTCTCCTTTATCATCCACCATGGATTCCTCACCTCCACATTCCTGAAGGGAAGTGAGCATAGAAGTCACAGGTAAGGTACAACAGTGACTGCAAATGCGCTGTGGGGCAGGCACAGTGTCAACCAATGTCCAGTCTCACAGTAGGAAGCTGTTGGCAGGTAAAGCTGTGTCCCAGGGATCACATGCTCTACTCTCTCCTGATTTCCAGTCTTGTCTTTCTCTTGGATCTATCACTCATGGTTGTCAGTGGTCAGCAGAGTGACTGTGTGTTATGCGGGCCTTTTGTTATTTGTTCCTAAAGGTCTGTTGGGCCTAAATCTATCAGTGATCTCTGAATGATTCTCTGGCTGTCCATTTCTCAGGTGGCCGATCTTGAATATCTTGCTCAATGAGCTACTCTTCCAGTGAGCTATGTGTTGGGAAAAATGGCACTGCACAGGATTTGTGGGCTAGGCGCCTTCCCTGAGGGTGTTCGATCCTCTCTCAGGATGGAAGGTTCTTTGCACCTGTGATGTAAACAGAGCCAAGGACAGGGGAAGATGTAGCTCTCCTTCACAAAGCCCCTGGCCCTGGAATTTACGTGGTGGGTTTCTAATTTAAGTTCCCTTGCTGTATAGCTATTCATCATTTAACAACCTACCTGCCTAAGGACTGCTCAGCCTTCTGACTTTCTCTCTGTACATTGTTGTACATCTTGTTCATAGAGCCTGGATGAATAGGACCTCCAATCCCAGCTTTCTGAGGAATTTCCACACTGATTTCCATAGTGGTTGTACTAGCCTGCTCTCCCACCAACAAAGAAGAAAGGTTCCTTTATCCCCACCGGTCCTGTAGCATTACTTACTGGTTGATAGTTGATAGCATTACTCCTTGATGATAACTATTCCTTCTGGGGTGAGAAGGAATCTCAGTGTTGTTTTAATTTGCATTCCTCAAATGGACAATTACATTGAGCATTTTCATATATTTACTTGCCATTTGTATTTCTTCATCTGAGAAGTATATATTCATCTCAGATCCCTATGTTTGCATTGGGTCTTTGGATTTTGGGGGCCTGATTTTTTAAAAAATTCTTTATGTGTTCTCAGTAGAAGGCTTTTGGCAGAGGAACATGTTTCTCTTGGGAGGTACTTGGCTGAAGTGAAGAGACCACTAGAGTCATTCTGTAGCATAAAGGACATTGGAGAACATCCAGTATGCTCTCTTCATTTCCTTTTATCTGACACATTCTGTCCATGAAGTGCATGGTGGTCTTCAACTCACCATGAACCACGCTGGCCTGGAACTCACAGAGACCCTCTTGCTTCAGCCTCCCAAGTGTTAGGATTACAAGCTTGTGCTCCCACCTCAGGCCTTTCTTCATTGAATAGATGAAGGAATGCAAGCCTAGAGCTGGGTCCTGGGTTGGCTGGAAAAAAACAGAATGCACTGTGAGCAAGGCCATCTGTTTGTGACTATGCCCTGCCCTGCACCCTTGATCATCTGCCCTGGGACACACATACTGGTCCTTTTCAGCTCTTCAGCACTTACTGCCTCCTCCATTACCCACAGGACTCTCCTAGAAGGAGCTGATGCCTCCAGGCTCTCATGCCTGCCCCACCCTGCAGTCATTTTACCTTTAGGATAAGCAGTCAGGCTCCCCTGTATGTGCTCAGTGTTCTCATGTCTGGACTTGCAGGGCTGGGAGCTTCAGGCAGTTTCCCCCTCCTTCCAAGCGACTGAGTGTGCTTTCTGAACCACAGGCCCCACCTCCCGCATCTCCTTACAGAGCTGAGAGCTTCCCTCCATGGTGGCAGTCTGTGGACCCTGCCCTGCAGCTCTCCTATGTTATTTTGTGTATGGTTTGTGACAGGGTCTTTCTATGTCATTCAGGCTGTTGCTGAGCCAAGTTTGAAGTGCGGGCTGGTCTAGAACTGAAGGTCTTCCTGCCTCAGCCTCTTGAGTGCTGACACTATATGTGTACTCTGCCAGGCCAAGCACCTCAGGAATCTTATGCATGGCGAGACATGTACGCTGCTCATGTCCTTCCACCTGACTTCGTAGCTGTGCATTCACTTCCTTACCTCTACATCATGACTTTTCTGATGCTTTTTCAGGAAAGCCATCCCCTCCAGCAAAAGTTGTCTCCTGGGCTCAGCACTGCAGGGGAAACAAAATTACCTGAAAAGGCCCATACTTTCTTAATGGCTGGGCCTAATGCACTCCAGGGAAAGTTGCAGCCCACAAAAATACTGTATCCTTAGTGCCTGTGTTCCCACCTCCCATGCCCAGGAATTTGCCCCAAGAAGAGACTTTTGGAATCCTCTCACCGTCCAGTTGCTTAAATTAGTCAGTCTTAAGTCAGTCCAGTCATCTGTGGTGAATGATCGCTGTAAGCATGAAGTGCAAATTGTATTTAAAGGGCATCTTAATGCTGAATGATGATTAGAAGATTTGCAGGCATTTTTGAGGTGTGTTTCAAAATTCTAACTCTAAGCAAATTGGTCAAGCAATGGCCGTGACTCATCCACATGGCTGACACTCACAAAGCATCTACAAACTGCCATACAGGGTTTCAGGGTAAATCCTGAGGGGATCTGACTGACCTTGTCAGATACAAAAGCTACATTTCTTGTTATACAGGTCTTGCTTCATCTTGGTCTTAACCATCAAGCAGAAAAGTATAAAAACAAGGTAAGAAAAGTAAAGCCATATTAATGTGCTGAGCTGTAAAAGGCTCAAGTCAACAACTTCTGACATTGCCAGTCCTGTGGATAACCCACTACTATTACAGGCTACTGGACCATATTGGAATATTTTGCTGAATTCACACACCTACGATATTTAAATGGCAATGGAATACCCATCTCTGACAAAACTAAACAAAAAGGGGAACACAAATGAAGGACCATCTTGTATCTGTATATTCAAAATAGGATAGATATACAGCTACTTTCTCTTAATTCAGTGAATAGAAGGATTTGTACTAGTACTGTTTGTGGACAGGATATCATGTCTGCATCTTGTACAATGAATAACCACTAAGAAGACAACAATATGCAAGGTATTAATTCTTGAAGCTGTGCTTGTAATCAGTTTTGAAACTGTCTCATTGCTATTTGTTTCTCAATAAAATTATTTTAGAAACCCCAAATTCTAACTCTAGTGTATCACAGGCTTGTTGGACTCTGAGCTTTTCTTAAGAAATAAGGCATTTTATTGTGAAACATCAGGGTTTTTTTTTCTCTTAAGAAAAGCTTTGTGAAATAATGTTAAATGGGAAGAGTGGATCAAGAGGATATATTTTATGTAAAGTGGTGGTGGGCGAGGTTCTTAACAGGATTCAGAAAAATTACATGAGTAGGGGTGATAATTTTGGAGAATTCTTTCTTTTCTCCCTCTCTCCCTCTCTCCCTCTCTCTCCTTCTCTCCCTCTCTCTCTCTCCTCACTTCCCCTCCCCCTCTTTCCCCTTTCTCTTTCCTTCAAGATAGCACTTTCCTATGTATTTCCAGCTGGCCTCAGACTTGCCCTGCTGGTCCCTATCTTGAGGTGAACATCTTGTCTCCGCCTCCTTAGTGCTGCCATTATTGGTGTGCCACACCACACCAAGCTTCTGGGAAAATTTCTAACAGAAAGGCTTTGACAGAAAACTGCCATACTATAGTTTCATATACTTTGGAGGCTGTTGAAGGAGGACCACCTGTTTCAAAAAAGAAATGGAGCAAGGAAGGGACAGAGGGAGAGAGAACACTTTTGCATTAGTCAGATGTAAATGCCTGCCCAGAGAATGGTGGTCCATGCCTTAGTGCTAAAGAAAATTCTGGCCCAGCCCCTTTGATGGGTACAATGATCCCCTTGCTCTGTTCCCTGGGAGCACCCAGTGTTTCTTGAATTGACATCACAGGAAGCCTGGAAACCTGGCAGGTGCAGGCACCAAGTGGAGCTGGGTATGCACAGGTTGGGGGTCTATGGAAGCCCAGCACAGACCAATGAAAGAATCATTTGCATGGAACTCATCCATTCCATGCAGGAATGAAGTCCTTGGGGTGTTGAGGACTACCGGGACATCCACCTTCCAAGCACTCCCCTCTCTGCCACAGCAGGCTGTGTTCTTGCCTGGGAAAGTGTGTGGCTGGCATCAAGAGGACTGAGAAAGGGATCTGGGTGGTGGAAATGGGGCTTGGAAGAGTAGAGTTCAAGGAGACTCCTGGAGGCGGTGGCCATTTGCAGAGGATGTGTTTTCTGGTGGTAGTCACAACCCTTGCAAGGCTCACAGTCTTTCATCATTAACTTCTATTGAAACAATTTACACTCTCAAAATATGAACTATGTATTTTATAAATAATGTCCTTCCAGAGTACTTCTTCATGGATCCAGACTTGTGATCAACAATTGCTGGGCAGGAGGGATGAATGGGTGCAGCCCGGGGGCTGTTTGGAGTGGTGAACCTGCTCTCAGGGTACTTGAGTGATGGATGCCTGATACTCTGCAAGGGGTTCTGGTGTTGGAGTGCCCCTAGCACCTGGCTTAGTAGGATTTCTTCTGGAATAAGGCCTAGAGCTGACCTCTATAGGAAAGGATTTGATGGTATTAGCCCTCAGGACATATGCTAAGGTTTCACATGGAATTTTATGTTGCAAAATGGGTAACTGTTCCTTCATTGACCACCGTGGGAGAATCTGAATGTGAACGGGTGAACATGTGCCAGGCCAGTGTCAGGCCTTTCTGGTGATGACAGCAGACGCAGGATGAAATACCAAGACAGGACCACCCTGGATACATTTGCATGAAG